CGGGGGGCGCGCGGCCGCGCCGCCCCCCGTCGCCTCTTCCTCCGCCTCCTCCTCGGCACAAGCCTTGGCGGCGAGCAGAGGGTCGCGGTCAGACCCCCGCCGGGGCCAAAGTGAACCTCGCCGCCTCCGCACCCTGCACCACCAACTCCCTTCAGTCGTCCGCGCCGCCCCAAGAAAATGTCACCAGAGGCCGTTCCGCTCGGCGCCTCACTTCCGCCCGGAACCACAGAGCTCACGCCGATCGGCTAAAGCGGGCCCCGCGTGAGGGACCGGAGCCGGAGGCCTGGGGAAGCCACAGAGCGCCATCTGGCGGAAGGAACAGGCACTCCTCCGGCTGCAGAGCGCGGGGCGCGCGGGCGCCTGCTTTCCGAGCCTTTTTCCCTTGTTCCCTCCTTTTGTTCAGGCAGCTCTGTTTCAAAAATATCTTTCTTGGAGGGCAGGAAAGTCAGTCAATGCATGCTAAGGGCATGGTCTTAAGAAAAGGACAGCGCTCCCCTTTTCATGCGCCGCTCAGTACTCACCCCCTCTTGAAGTCGTCCGGAATGAAGCTCGCGGTGTCAGAATCCTGGAGTCACTCTAGCAGACGGCCCACACCCTTCTCCACCCTACTTTTTCGAGGATGTCAACAGCTCGGCTAGGGGAGGCTCGGTTATGCTCTTGTCCTGCAGTGGCATCAACATCCTATTCAAGTTTCTGAACCGGAATCTTGCAGGCCCTGCTAGTAGACCGCCGCCTGCTGGAGAAACAGCATCCTCCACCGAGCTCCGCTCCGCCCCTATGCGCGTTTCAGACGCCCCAAATTCCACCTCCGCAGGGTCACACCTCGGAATTGAGGTTCGCCCTGGGAAGGGTGACGCCTCGGCGCACTCTTTAGAGTTTTCGAGGCCTTGAGTTGAGCTTGGGGACTGGGGAGACGTGGTAGCTGCGGGACCCAAAAAAAGGCTAGGTGAGTGAACTCAGACCACCTGCAGGTAGAAGATGAGAGATGAAAGGGAACCTCACAACTCAAGATCTGACCGAGGGCCCCAACTCCGTGAGTGGTGCAGGGTTTTGAGATAAAGAAAATAAGGAAAGGTGGGGGGAGCTTGAGGATACCATGTAGATCTTTTTACCTTTTGAAGAGCTATGCTGGAACCTTGTGTGAGACTTCTAGAGGAGACTCGAACTCAGAGCACTGGACCACACTGCCCTTACACCAGTCTTCCCTTCAGACCAAGCCGTTCAACTTTCCCAGTTCACTCATTTTTGCTAACTGCCGAGAGGCATGGTAGTTTTCCAGCTCTGACTAAATGAATAAATTGAGAATATAAGACAATAATCACTAACTTATCCTAAATGCTGTGTGTCAGGTATGGTTACTACATGCATTTAAGTTGATCCATTCATTTGCTCCTGTAACAACCCTATGAGCTTACGGCATTACTAGCCCCAATTGACAAAGGTGGAAACTGAAGCACAGTGACCTGCCTAATGGCAGGTAAATGGCAAGCTTTGAAATCACAGACAGTCCAGCCCAGAGTCCACTGTATTTCTCTTTTATTCATCATAGAGCACACGGGCAAGTGAGAGGATGTGAGAAAGAGAGGAGGACCTCCAGCACAGAATCTGGTCATGCCAAGATTCTCTCTTCCTTCGGTCCTCCAGCTCTTCCAATCCTGAGCACTCCAGCTTGTGTCCAGCATGTTTCAGGCTGACAAGCCAAGAGTTCAAACCTCAGTCATCTTGTGGGATCCAGTTTCTGTCACACAGCACATTCCACCTTGTGGAATTGGCTCGAGGGCCCACTCTCTTACCCACGAACACCAACTGCCTTATTGAGATTCACTGAGAACAAACACTCTGCCAGGTAAATATTATATCTGTGTATAATAATATTTCACTCATTCATTTATTCATTTACTTCCTGCTAACCTTAGTCCTCGAAGGATTTAAGAAGTTGTGAGATAATGACAAGAAAAAGCCCAGGCTCGGGCCAGCAGATGGCGTAGTGGTTATGTTACTGGACTCCCACATGGTCAAGCATGGTTTCAGTCCTGAACCCAGTTGCTTGAAAATCATGCTGTGTGCATGTGTGTGCATGCCCAAAATCCTGAGAGGAAAATGGGGGAGAAGGGATTGTAACATAGCCATCCTCCTTTGGGGGTGATTTCTTACTTTCCCTCTCTCATTTTCTCTCTCCGACAAGCGCACATGCCCTATGACAAAAACAAAACAATCTAAATACATATATATACATATATATGTATGTATTTTATATATTGCATATAAAAACATAGAAAAATATATCATGACTTTTCCAACAACCCAATATATCAAGCTAGTCAATTCCCTACAGTGAATGGACTGTGCATATATTTTGAGCCTAGGGCATTTGATGTCCTAATTACTAATATCCCAATTACCACCATACTTCAATTACTAAATGGGACATTTGCTTTCTTCTTTCTCTTTTTCTGCAGGAGCAAGAAAAACTGGACAGTTGATCCTACTTCTGCCTCAGAATTGTGTCCTAAAGTTTCCTGTGCATCCAATACTAGCCTCCAAACTCCTGAAATGCCATATCCTCCATAAAACCAGCTCTGCCCAACACCACCCCCATCACTACCACCCTCACTACCCCGTCTCTCCAGACCTCCCCTGCCTGGCAAAGTTCTTCCACTTGCAGACTCTCCTACAAACACATCCATCCCTCAGCCTATCTGTAGTGGTATTACTAAATTATATCAGTGATTCTCCCAACTTCTGTCACAGCTCTAGAGGCCAGAGCCACATTTGTCAGAATCACTCTTCAGCATCATTTCTTGCATCTGATGCACCACCTGGAACAGGGCTTGGCCTACAGTAGGTACCTGGTGGACATGGTGGCCTGAGCAGTAACAACAGAATGTGGCTGACTTGCTTTGACATTCTCTGTTTGCTCCTGACCAAGCAGGTTACTCCCACCATTTGCTTTGGGGTAGTATAAAGGGAAGAACCCTCATTTCTGGACTGCAGGTGATCCTTCTTCTTTTTCACATCACTCAGAACTTGCCTACCCTTCCTCAGCAAACTGCCCACCCCTCATACAACCAGCATCCACTCCAATCACTCAGCACTTGCTGTGAGGCAGTGGGATCTGGGGAGATCATAGCCTCTGCGCTGTGGTAGCTGTGAACCCTCACCCAGGTCTCTGCATCTGGAGTTGACATGACTTGCTCTGCCTCACAGCATAATCCCATAGAGCTCAGTGCCTTAGTCCATAGAGCTCAGTCATATTCTCCTTGTGGAAGGCCAACCAGAGGCATTCTAAGGATTTCGGAGAGTGGAAGGTCAGATGATCGTCAGGACCAGGGGCTCTGGAATTGGCCAGATCTGAATGTGGACTGGGCTCTGTCCCACTCTAGCAGAGTGACCTTGAGGCAGTTGTGAAGCTTCAGTGAAGCTATGTCCTCGCCTGCCCATCCTAGATGACTCCCTGACACACCCTTGCAGGAGCTCATGAGGGCTGAGGGTGAAGTGAGTCTGTATATGGAGCTCTTGGTACAGCATCAACTCAGAGACAATGCTCTAACGTGGCCGTTTTTCTGATGGCAACACTACCAGTCAGGGGCTCCTACACACACAGACCCACGGTGGCCAAGTACAGGAATATTTCCATCTTGACCTACTCATTTTCCAAACAAGTTCATGTGGAACCTGAGTGGAACAGTACAGAAGGACGTCATGGAAATGGAGCCAGGAGGTGGCTGAGGGCAACTGAGCAGCATCTCCCTCCACTTCTCTGTCTTCTGGGCTGAGTGATTAAGGCTCCTCTGTCTCGGGTAAAGTGCCCTGGGACTCAGATCCAAGTCCTTCTTTCCAGTCAGGTGACACCTCCAAAATTCTGTCGATAACTTTATTTTATTTTTTAAGGTTTTTGTTGTAGAGCATGGGCACTTGCTGGAGAGAGACAGAGAGATGGAAAGTGAGAAATCATCCCCTGGGGGAGATGGTCACACCACAATTCCTTCTCCTCTACTCTCATCTCAGTATTTTGGGTGTTTACACACATACATCTGGGTGTTTTTCTATTCTTTTTATTTTTTTTAAGAATTATTTTATTTAGGGACCAGCAGGTGGCGTGGTGGTTAAGGCGCTGGATGTGAAGGCTTGCTTTCTGTCCCTGTGTGTGTGTGTGTGTGTGTGTGTGTGTGTATGTGTGTCTGGTCAAATTAAAATGAATGAATGAATAAATAAAAGTAAATTAATTATTTTTAAATTAATTTATTTAACTTTATTTATTTATTTATTTTAGTCTGACCAGAGAGGGACAGATTGAGAGAGAGCAAAAGAGAGAGAAAGTGAAAAAACAAGCTGCCAGATCTGAGGCTTGAACCACAATCGGCAATGTGGAAGTCCAGCGTCCTTAACCACCATGCCACCTGCCAGCCCCATCCTGGTGTGTTTTTCAAGGTGCCAGATTCAGTACTTGAACCTTGGCTGACCATGTGGAAGTCCAGCACCTCAATCACTACTCCATCTGCTGGTCTTGTAACTTTTTTTTTTTAATGTGGAAATAAATGCAAAGGATCATTTAAAATGTATTAACAAGTATGTGTTAGCCTCTCACATGTTGTCTGTTTGCTTATTCTTTCCATGAGAAGGAGACACAGAGGGAGTGACAGAGAGTCAGGTACCCCAACACCACATCCCTGGCATGCTAGTGTACTCAGGGGGGTCCCAGGACTTCTCCCACATGAATTCATTTGTATCACCACTACACACCACCTGGCTCCCTTTAAGGCTTATTTTGCTTTAATTTTTTTAAGATTTTTTTGCAATAGGGTGCATGTGCTCACTAGAGAGAGAGACAGACAGAGGGAGGGAAAGTAAAAAATCACCCCTCAGGGGAATGGCCCTTCTTCTCCTTTCTCCTCTTGGGATTTTTGGATACACACATGTGCCCTGCATGATTTTTCAAGCTGCCAGGTCCAGGACT